TATATAATAGACACACGCTTGGCCACAATCTCACCTGATGTTAAGCGACGATGTGACCGACGATGGGACGCGTTTGCCTAAAAAATGCCTATTCACTCTAGCCTTGAATAGCCTCAAATTGTACTTTTCGGGAAATACAGATGCCGGTAGAGCATTCCATTCCTTTGCCGTACGCATCAGAAAGGAGGAAGCAAAGCGCTTAGTGCGAATAGGTGGAATATCAACGACATAAGAATGGAGTGCTCCGGACCTTCTAGTCGACCGAAGGAGGAACGGTGAGGGCGGAACCAAATTGAAAAGTTCCTGCGCACACTACCCGAAATGTATCCGATAGAAAACCGACAAGCAGGCTACTTTTCTGCGATGATCGAGATTTTGGAGCTTCGACTCCACAAGAGGATTATTGTTAATAAGTCTCTTTGCTTTACGCTCCACCGAGTCCAAGGCAGCTAACTGGTATTGGGCAGAGCCGTCCCAAAGGTGGCAGCAGTACTCCATACAGGATCGAACTTGTGCTTTATACAGATTTAAAAGCTGTTCAGGTGTGAAGTACCGCCTGACCTTGAAAAGTATGCCTAGTTTTCTGGCAGCAGTTTTTGCCAAGCACTCGATGTATCGCCCAAAGTTGAGGTTGGATGATAAGTCCAGACCAAGTAGCTCAAGGTGGTCCCTTATCGGCACGGATACACCTCGGAAAGTCGGAGTAAGGTGTAGGGGACTCCGTTTTGATGAGAAAAGACACGCCTGTGTTTTAGCCGCATTAAACCTGACCCTGTTAGCATCTCCCCAGTCGGAAGCAGCTTTCAGACTCAGGTTCAACCGGGTGACCATCGCCTCTCGCTTACACCGGATCTCTTCACTGTTGTCTCGGGCGTCTGGCACATAACTCACCGCCACTGTGCTGTCGTCTGCGTACCCAAAGATACCGGGCATCAGCAGCAGGTCGTTGATATGCAGCAAGAATAGAGTGGCGGAGAGGACAGATCCCATTTTTCAGTTTAACAAATTTTTCAGTTCTCGTGCTCGTAAAGTTAGTCATATTTGCCGCCACTCTGGTTCACTGCGAGTTTGAGCCTTCAAACGTTTTCCAAGAGCAGTGAACCGTCTTTGACATGCAGGTTTCTTTTGCGAGGTGTTACTACATAATCTCAGTACAGTGCTAAAAACCGACCTCTAGTTTTTTTTATACTATCGTGTGTCGTAAGTGGCGGGACGAAGAAGTCGTGCCTGATGGCAAGCTACACGCCCGTCCATAACAGTTGCAGTGCCATTCAGAGCTTTAAATCGTGACTTTCCATGTGAGGTGAGATGGAAGGTAAATGCGCACTTATTTTTATTGAAAAAAAAAAAAATTATTGATATGTGTTGTCGGTGTAATTTTTAATGTGCAGTATTAAAAAAACCCGTACCTGCATGTAGCCGTTATCCTGGTAAACAACCTCCTTGTTGTCGACGTAATATTTATCAGCGTAGATCTTCTCCTCAACGAACTCCCCGTTCTGCCCCATATGCATGATCGGCTTTGGCAATGTCAGTTTGAGGGACTTCTTCTGCGCCTGCTGCGCTTTCGATGTTGATTTCTTGGGCGATGTTGTTTTCACTTTAAACTCCTGAAAATTGCGTTGAAGAGAGAATCGATTTAGATACAATAATTAAAGAACAAATCATAAAAAGGATCCAATTATTATGTTTTTAAGACTAAAAATTTCACAACAAATAAAAAAGTCAACAATGAAGTATAAAATCAACACTAACGAAACGAAATTTGAATAATTACTCTAAAAATACCACGCCCAAAACAAAAGAAAACGACCCGCATACAAGATATAATGCACTTATTACCGATTCGATTTATCGATTCTGTAGTGTAAATCTCTATGGATAAATATTCCGTTTTACGTATCAAGTAGTTGGGGTAACTTATTTTTATCTTTATCATTTCAATTTCTATCTAAATAACATACCGTAATTTTGACTACAAATTACAATTGCAACTAATACTGTTTATTTTTGGAATATTACAATAAATTTATTATTTCTTTCTGGTTGACAAATTTATTAAAAATAGTATACATGCAACGTAAAAATTTGAAATGTACACAGCACCCATCCTATGTGAAATACACTATAGCAAACTTCAATTGTTTCACTCACACATATCAATCTTTATCAATAGTAAAATACTGTTCTGTCAACAAAATTATTTAAAAAATAAGACGCCCAAACCACATCGGGCTAGCGTAATTGACTTTCGCCTAAATCCTCTCATTATTCTTCTGCTGATGGACACAGGCCCTTTGTCACTAGTATCCGACGAGTCCAGCGATGGAGTATGTAATAAAGTTAAAAGTGATCCTTACTTTGTCTTTGTTAGCGGCGCTCGCCGATCTCTTCTCCAAAGTGCGCAGCTCCTTACAAAGCTCCCGAACCAGCTGGCCGGAATTAAGGCATTTCGGGACGTTGTCGCGCTTCGCCGGATCCGACTGTAGGAAATATAGACAGTAAATAACATTGAAATACAAAAAAAAAGTTTTAATTTTGTAACCTTCGCGGTTCACGGATATGCGTGTTTTCGCAGTGCGCAAAAGTAGAAAGGACGTACGCTCTTGAGCGCGTGCCACTCCTTGAGCGCGTTGGCGAGGATCTTGACGCCGCGCAGCAGCAGCGGCGGCAGCGGCGCCGGCGCGCTGGCCAGGTACGACTCGTGCAGCGTGAAGTCCTCGTCCTGCCGCACCGGAAATCATTGTTACTTCAACGTGTACTTCGACAACGCGAGGCAGTCTCACTTCGACGCCAGGGGGCGAGTCAAAACCAGACTTGCAATCAATATTCGGTATTCGGCTTATTTTTTGCAATTAGACCGAATGCCGAAGAAAAACGGCAGGAAAAAATAAGAAAAAATGCTGAACCATGTAAATTTTATCAATGCTAAAATTCTAAACGACCAAAAGAAATGTAATAAACTAAAAAAAGGGTAAAATAATGAAACTACCTACTTAATATGTAATTTACTCATAACTTAATAAACGTCAACAAAACCCACCAAGTATTTATTATTCGCAAACTAAAATAAAATTTTGTTTTTGAAAGTTAACCAAAATGAAGTGATTAAAACAATTCCTTTCTTCATTAGGTCATGACTTTAAATTATAAACTTGAAAATTACAGTAAATATCCTTGCTTCGTTGTACGTACAAAATTATTTATCACAACTGAAGTTATTATTATTCGCACCAATTTTCGTAATATGCACCGAATAGTCTGGACGAATATTGCGCCACCTTTTGGCCGATTATACTATTCATTACAATACTGGACAAAACCTATCGCAAGCCCATTTTAAATATCAGAACTTGAAACTGAATGAATTTTATAGATTACATTCAGAGTACATTTCAAATTGCACGATTAGACACCTGGGGGTCGACTCAGAACCTTACGATAACTCAGTTGTCGACCGATTCGATTTGATATCGTACGATTTCTTTTCATTTTAATTCACAACACCCGAATCGAACGTCAAACCGTCGTATTCGAAACCGAACCGACATGGCGTCACACCCGTACGATAACCCGAACTTCTCGACCAGCAAAGGCCACAAACGTCTTTCAGAACACAGTTATCAATTGAAAGTTACCGAACGTCCTATTGTTTACAAAGCAAGAATGTAATATGGAAATCTCTTATTATTTTAAATAAAGTCTGGATTTTGTTCAATTTTATTAATTTTTTTAATGAAAGATCAATGCATTCCTACATTTTAGGCCCTTAAAGTCTTAAGAATGTATTCATTTTCATTTTTCTTATAATCTATTTCACGGGCTAACTCCGTAAACGCTGTTGGATAACAAAATCCTATCCGAATTATGAAAAGCTCGGAAAGCGCCCTTCAATTCGACAACGGTATCCATTTGAACGATTCAGTTGAAATATCGAAGAGTTCTGAATCGGGGTCCAGACTTCTTAAGTTGGCACGACTTAAATAAACTCCGACTTCCACAGTATGTTCCTCACCTGAGTCTCCTCATTATATCTGCGAAGCATAGTGAGCAGATACGCGCCGGCGTACCAATGCATGGCCTCAAAGAGTGGGTAACGAAAGGCTGTTGGAGTCTCCACACGGCGTTCGATCTCGTAGATCCTGCATTACACATATTATCATGATCAACTTCACAATCACAAATGAAATCCACGACAATCATGTCATGCATTATATTATTAATAATAAATGCGTGACACGATTGTTGTGGATTTCATTTGATATATGAATATGAGAGATATTTAAAAGTGATATTAAGGCCCATTTGCCTGAGTTGCCAGTCTCTATTTCTGGTTATATACTCGATGTTTTTGGGAAACTGGTAGATTTAACAAAATATGGCACTTGCCATATATGCCAATTCTAGGAAAGTACTTTCAAGTCGTCGTTATCAGCCCATAAATACGTCTTAGTGCTGGGCATGGGTCTTCCTTCAGGCGAGGATTTTCGATGGTGGCCCAATGCGGGTTGGGGACTCACACATAGTCCGAGGGTTGTGAACGTTCTTCGACGTGCAGGTTTCGTCGCAATGTTTTCGTTCACCGAAAAGTTCGTGGTAAATTTCAAATTACACGTTTCTCGAAATTTATGTGCGAGGCAAGTACTATCAATTAAATAACTTCTTTTTCTCCAAGGTACACCAGACTTGATACTCACTGTAACTGTGTCTCGATAGCATATGAGTGTAGCAAGTTTCCCCCGAAGACCAGGGAATCACAAGGCGTGAGAACCGCATGGATCCACCCCGAAGGTATGAACAAAGTTTGACCAGCTGTCAGTTCTGCCGTGCCGTACCATTCCACCTGAAAACAAGTGATTAATTACATACTTGTAATATAATCGCAATATGCAGGAGTCTCCTGCAGCTTGTGAGGAGAGGTAGGGGAAATATCTCGACCAATCACGATACGGAACGACTTTGAATAGTCGTCCGCTACCTACCCAAGCGCCGAAGATAATTAAGGCGAATTAATTCATAGTAAGAGGTGTGTTTTCTAATAAGGACTGTCGCGAATTAGTATTACTTTTGTAATATCAAGCATTAATAAATTTAGTCTGTTATGATACCTAAGAGTAGAGAACTATCCAGGCATCTCAAATTCTAAAGGTGAGATATCAGGCTGCTGGGAGTGCACTGGTTGGTCGGCACTACAGTTGGTAAGTTTCATCATCATCAACCCATTTATATGTCCCACTGCTGGGCACGGGTCTCCTTTCAGACGAGCGCTTAGGCCATAGTCCGCCACGCTGGCCCAATGCGGGTTAGGGACTCCACACATTTTCTAAGGGTTGTGAACCTTCAACGTGCAGGTTTTCCTTCACCGAAAAGCTCATGATAAATTTCAAATTAAATTTCGCACATAAATTCCGAGAAACTCAGCGGTGCGAGCCCGAATTCGAACCTACGACATTCTACTTGAGAGGCAGTAGGTCAAACCATTAGGCTACCACGGCTTCACGGTTCACGGTTGGTAAGTTTGCACAATGTTTATTACTAACTTAGATACAATATTTGTTGACTAGACAGCCTGAAGATAGAGTATGACGAATCAGTAATAGAATTAGAATGAGACCCGCCACTTGTACTAAAGGTATAAGGGGGCATGAAGCGGCGGCAAGGAAGGAATGTAGGCGTGTGTGAGGAGACCCATCATAGGGATCAGAGGATCCCACTAGTTCAGATTCAGAGGATCGATATGAGGTCATGGACATATTAGGACAATTATAGTAGTCATATTAAGTAGAATGGAGTGAGAAGTGTTCGCGAAGAAAGATACTCTATGATAAAAAGTCGCATATGTCATTTACATCATGATTGAACTCATTATTCAAGGGATGGGGCCTGGTGACTTATAATACAAGTGAAATATCTACATCAAGCGCCAGCTCCCACAATATACTACTGTAATGTGCCTTCATATTGTTTAGTACTTTGTGGTGAGAAATAAACATATTTATTATTATTATATTGTGTTTAAAATTATGAATGTGTGAGCTTGGCAACAGCGGTTCTGATAGTAATCGAGGCTTCAGTGTCTATACAACCTCAAATGGCTTTGCTTGATTCAGCATAACAGACAAAGTGTCGGATCAATCACTTTAGAAATATCGTATATATATTCCTATATATACGATATTTCCAAAGTTGGGGATATGCACTGATTACTTCTATATGGTGTAAAAACACGATTCGTACAAATTTTCACGACAAAAAAAGACAAATTTACCTCGAATTTTTACAATAAAACTACTGTATTCAATAGGTATTTGACATAAATCGATCCCTCCTACGTAAAGTATCGTATGTCGAAATTGCCAAGTTTACAGGGGAGCGTTTTAAAGTTCTGGATTCACTGAAATAAGAGTTTTAAAGTAACGAGCTTTGCCGAATAAAACTGAGAAATGCTAAAGTCACGTGTAAAGTTTCAGTGAATTCAAAACTTTAAAACGCTCCCCTGTAAACTTGGCGATTTCGACATACGATATTTTACGTATGAGGCATTGACTTACAATTATATGGACGTCGGGTCCGCGCTAAAAAGTGTCCGAACTTATAGGGCGTTAAAATCGTATACAGAGCGTCATTCACGCTCTAGTCTTCGTTTGTTCGACTGACAGCGAAGCAAACAAAATTAGACTGTACTGCGATGACATTACAATTTAAATTCAACGTTTTAGCTTTTTCATATTCCTTGACATGTCACTACGTTTAAATAGGTTGACTTGGGACATTTTTTTCGTGGTTTTTGTATTAGACCCGTCGTCCATTTATTTGTAAGTCAATGGTAGGTGGGGTCGAAATAATACCAATGATTTTTTTATTAACTGAACTAAATACCACACTTATACTATATGATATACATTTCTCAAATGGCTTCAATTCCGTTTACAAAAAAATAAATTCTGAAATAAAGCCAGTGTCCCTGCCTCTTGACCAAGGCAAAGTGAACCGTATAAGTACGACATAAAACTTTAATTCGAGCTGAGGTAGTATAAGACTCTTAAGGCACTTCCATTTGGAATTATAGTTAACATATTTCAGCTTACCAAATCACCGAAGAACCGTTCATTCTGGTTATTGGATGCGCTCCATTGCTGGTACAGAGCGAGATTAGTCGCCGTCGGCGGCACCAGGTAAAATATCTGAAACAAAAAATATAGTTAACTCAACAAATGTAATATTAAGACGTAATTAAGGAGAACGTGCAGCACCCGGACAAACCAATGTAGGTTTAAGGGTGTGATGTATATATATTTTTGTAATATTCTTAGTGTTTAAAATAAATAAATAAATAAATAAACAAAGAAATAAACTGAAACGACATCATCATGCAAGGATGCGTGGCCCGCATCAAAATCTGGCGAGTGTCGCAGCGCCTTCCCATCCCAGAATAAAAATTAAATTAGGTTGAGTACAGTCCACTAATGTATTTTCGTATTTCTCACTACAACTCTGCCTTGAAAATATAAAAAACACAAAAAAATAGAAATAACAAAGAACGCCTTTTTTAAAGTATGTGGTGTTAAGTATTCAAGTATTCGTGCACCATAAACGCAAAATAATTAATAGCATAGACAATTATCTAATCATATAAATCTAATTCTCGGAATTACGAACGGTTACCATGCCGTTCTGCCACGCAGAGGTCCCAGAGTCGATTCCCGAGCAGTGAGAAATATTTGTATGGCCTACATTTATTTCTCTCGTGAGTTTAAATGTAATTTGTGATTGTCTATGTGTGTGTCCATGCCATCCGCGACACAGGGTTTCCCTAGTGCGGGGCTATATTGAGTGTGTGCGTTACTATTATTATTATTATTATTATTATTATTATTAGAAGATTATGTATAAGTTTAGAGCAGCGGACAGAAAGGGATTCACAAATTTAATTGTATTTATTTTGCACGCTCCATAAATAATGAAATTTGTAGATTTTTTATACAAATGCCAACATTTCCGAGCATGTTTGAGGAAATTGTATTTTCTCATTTATATTAAGAAGTTCCGAACCAATTAGTTACATAAAACATAAATTAGTTATGATCATGGCGTCGCGAATTATGTCGCGATTTATTATGATATAGTTTTGTAATATCAGCCCCCGTAGTATGCTGCCTCGAAGAAGCTGTTATATCAACATTTAGCTCTCAAATTCGAGTGATTAACCATGCATTTTATAATTTTATCACAATAGCCAACATGGCGAGCACCGTGACGTCATATTTCTATGTCATCGCGAGTGCCGTGACCAATGACTGCAAAAGATTAATACAGTACCAAACAGTCGACAGTTCTGCACAGTAATTTTATCAACGTAAAATTTTTTTGCTTCATCGATTTCGCAATTTCATATCGTTGTCCTAGTTCTTCAAAATATATAACATTATTTAACTACCACATAAGCAAACTTAGCTTTAACAACTGAAATAAATATTGTCTGCATTAACAAATTTAGTCTGTTATGGTACATCAGAGTGGGGAACTAGCCCGGCAGTTCAGGCGTCATAAATTCTGAAGGTGAGATATCAGGAGTTTGTGGGAGTGCAGTGGTTGGTCGTACAGCTGGTAACATTTGGAAACGAGAATAAATGCCTTTAAACACGAACAGGTATTTTCACACCTACCTATTTCCCCGACGTTTCGGCCAGGTTGCACTGGCCGTGGTCACGGGCTGACCCCAGTCAGCGCGAGTTTATAAGTGCATAAAGTCAACTTCGGAAGTCTAGCGTTAGCCTTGTGGGCGCTAGAAAGGAGGCCCCGGGTTCGTTTTATAAATTGGATCTGATCTGGGTGCTCTTGGTAGTGCAACCGAAGTTAATACCGTCGCTGTAATGTCTTGTCTAACTTGCATGATAGTGCCGACTTGGAGAGGGAGAGAAGGGCCCTGTGTGTTAGATGTAATATGCTCGCCTGCAGGTTTGCTCGTTCCACCAAAGATGTAAAGATTTCATTATTTAAAGCATATTGTGAAAACTTTTACACAAGCAGCCTGTGAGTGAAGTGTATGCAGAAAACCCTGAATACATTAAGGGTGCAATATAACAACGCTTTTAGGATTTTAATGGGGCTGCCGCGACACTGTAGTGCATCCATCAGGCTTTCATGCCATTATGCGCAAGAAGGCTGCCTCACTCATGATGCGTGTGCGCGGCAGTGCTAATAGCATCCTAGCCGTTGTTGCCAACAGGCTGGACTGCCCCTACCAACTACATTGGGTGCAACTACACGCGCGTAGGATAGTGGCCTAGACTCACTAGAATTAAGTAATTTTGTATTGTACTAACCATAGCACGTAAGAACAATTTACTGTATTACTAACATCATTATGGATCATGGTGCGAAATAAATAATTCTATTCTATTATAATTTCGTTTGAAACCCTTTGCGGATATCTGACACATTATTAATAATAATAATGTGTCAGATATCCGCAATATCAATAATAATATTGACCCCACCTTCCGCCCGTGCAGCACGTGGTACCAGACGGTGGTTCCGCCGAAGTCGACGTGGAAATCGGTGTATGAGCCGGCGGCGGACATGAGGCAGTACTTCTGTACGGCTGGCCTCGGCGGACGCTCCTCGGCGGACGGCCACACCAGCTCCGCCCAGTCCAGGCGCCGGGCCATCGCCGGGGGCTCCACCAGGGGGGACATGCTGAAGGAAAATAGAATTTACATAACCTTTATTGAATTAAACGATAACGCCAGAGAACTGTCTGAGATGATGAGTGGCGTCTCTATTAACACGCTTCTGGCAGATTGCGGCATTTATGCTGAGCCACTGTCATGACTTCCAAAACTATTCAATTAAATGATAGATGATGATCATAGGTGTAGTTGTATGTTACTTTTGTTATAAAAAGTTTGTTACTTTTAAGTGGTTCAATATAATAATATTCATGGAATTAGTTTTAGTGGATCCTATGTAAATAAGTTGTCATGGAGGTAAATAAAGTTTTTATCTATCGATCTATCTATCTACTTATTTAAGAAAAACAGAAACTTTCATGTGTACGTGGTAGCGCAATGGGTGGACAATTCGAACTCTTGTGGTAGCATGTATCCATATGTTCATTTCGAAATTAAGTACATTTGTTAATTATAATTATTAATACAAAGATCGAACATTCAGAAAAAACACTCAGAAAAAATTCCTTCGATCCGGTCCGATTCGAACCGACGTCTTCTTGCATACCGTGTCAGACGCTATACCAACTAAGCCACGGAACGAACCAACGGACATCACGAATTTTTCTATGTGCTTGCGTCGTGTCTTTGTACTTGGTCTTTCAACGACTTTTTAGTCGTAGCGCCATCTATGAGAAATCTACTACAGATTTATCACCCAGTTAGTACCTTTACAGCTACCAGTCCTGGCGAGAGATGTCGCTATTCACTGTATTAATTAAATTTTTATTGACTACCACTCTCTTAACGGCAAATGAAAACATTGGGATGAAACTTGCGAGAAAGGTTCACCGCCCTTAAAAAATGTGTTAAGTTCCTATCTTAAACTAGATTCTTAGAAGAGATCCGTGTCTTGCAGGGATGTATATTCGGTAGAACATGTTGTTAAGAGTCAATACTATTTGATCTCCAAATTCAAATTTTTCCTGTGCTAATACGGTTCATTTTGCTTGGGTCGATCGGCGGGACACTGGCTTTATGTCATTTTAAAAATGCATAACGTATACTATACGTGTTCTATTGAGTTCAGTTGATATGAAAAAACAATTGGTATGGTACCTATTGAATACAGCAGTTTTCTTATAAAATTTCGAAGTAGGTTCCGTGTTTTCACACCGTAAAGTAACCAGTATATACCTTTCATTTTAATATATATTTTTTCCAAAGTGGACTGATTAAATACTTTCAATGTTATGCAGAATCAATCAAAGCCATTTGAGGTTGTATACATTCTTAATACACAACATACATGTTGATAAGCCAAAACAAGTTCGTGAAGTTTTACCGTTGTTGTTCTTTTAAATTGTTATATTATCTATGGTTATTTAAAAAATAATATTTCAAGAATAATCGCGAAAGCTGTAAGTTTATAATTCATAAAAAACACCCAAAACCGGTGGACCACAATGATGTCGTATACCACATTGACAACGCCAAACCCTTGACAAAGTTGTCAAAAACTATTGCAGTTATAAGTTACCTCATCCATGGTATTCGCCCGACATAGCCCGTCAGACATACACTTATTTCGGCCTTTATAAAATTCTTTGAACGGGCACGACTTCGACAACGAAAAGACCCCTAGAGCGGTTTTTTATAAGACAAGAATATTTATGAAAGGGGAATTTTAAAATTAATAAATATTCTAAACAATAGAATAAAGTTTGATATTCTTTTTAAATGTTTTTCACTTGTACCTTAATGCTGTACAATGCCTTTTTGGCTTTTTTTTAAATGAATGGATTTTGCCATCAATCTCCAATCTTTTGCCATCTTTCGGTTAATGTCAATATAACATTTTCCCCTTTCTTAAAAGTTCCTGTCTTTACTTAAATAAATTACAGCTCTAAGTGTAGTTTGTCGGTCTCTTCGTTATCAAAATCGTGTCCATTCGAAGAATTTTGTAAAGACCGAATCAAATGATAATTTGAAGGGACTGTGCCGGGCGTATATATTCCTAGTTGTTGAGGAAACACCATCGAGTATATAACCAGAAATAGAGACGAAATGTCATTTAATTTGTTTGAAAACTACTCTGCCAAATCATTACGGTGACAGCTGCCCTCTGCCGATTGGCCAGCCCTAATTCGAAACAATTGACGGGTGTCGTCAATTGTTTCACTTCAAATGTACCGTTTAACTTGAGCTTTGGTATAATGGACGATAATTGAAAAATTACGTATTTAATGTTTAATTATCGATGAAATGTGATTCCGTTTGTTTTATAATTAGACGTTTTGCTGTTTTTCCCACGCCACCGAATGGAACGGCCCCCATTGTTAGGGATATTATCTTTGTTACAATAAATACAGAATATTTTTTGGAATATACGGTGACGTACACACAGGTCAGTTGTTGGCGCTGTACTACTTCAGCTTTCTAATTTGTGATTTCAGTGCAAACGAGAGTTGATACTTAAAAGTGAAATAAGGCCCATTATTGCCTGATAAGTTGCACAGACGGATGGCACTTATTTCTGGTTATATACTCGACGGGTAACACACATCCCAACCTTTACTGCAATAGTTTTTACCTAGCCCTGCAACAAAGACAAGGTCTACGATGAAACGAGCCTATTTATAGAGAAAGATTTCCCATTCTGTCGTACTCGCAAACACAGTCGTAGGTAGGAAATTCCGTTCCAGGGCTGTGTGCATAGAAAAAAATGATGAAATCCTGCCTTTACTCTAAATCCGAAAGGTCCGATGGTAAGGGGCTGGCGGAATGAGCTGAGAATGAAGCACGACCCAATATTTTTTATCGTGACAGGACGAACAAGTCGTACGCCTGATGGTAAGCTGCACGCCTGTCCATAACAGTCTCAGTGCCACTCTCGAGCATAAAATCGCAAAGATCTGATGGGCACTGCCACTGCGCCCGTCACTCTGAGACATAAATTGACAAGTCCAATGTGCCTGTAATTTCACCAGCACCCTTCAAAAATGGAACAGTAATGCTGATATTACTGAACAGATAAGGTAGCAGTACTACCTTGGACGAATTCTTTCACAAGGAGCTCTACTGCTACTAATGAATATACTCGTAATGAAATAGTTGCTGTGGATACTGACTTGGTGTCGGTGAACTCGAGGCTGAGCACGTTAAGCACCTTCTCGTCACGACTTTGTGGCGGCGTCTCGAAGTAGTCCACGAACTCCCCCAACGGCATCCGTAGCGTCGACTGTTTGCGGACATCTATCACCTCCACCTGCGAACGGATGTGTTTGAAGCTTTGTAATTGGACTCTTGTGTCCTAATGCGATGTCAAAATAAATGGCTTAAAATTAGTGATGCAACAGAAGTGTCGTAACGGAAACAGAAACAGATGTCAAAAGTATATCTTAGCGGAAACGGAAGCAGAAATGTAAATACTATAAAGATCTCAATTAAATAGTTCCAAACGGCTTGTTTTTGGCGTAAAAAAAACGGGCGCTCTCCATTAAAGTTAAACATATGGCACTGGTGTGGTACACGCCTAGTGAACGTTGTGAACTTCCGAATTAAAGTTTTGTTATAAAAGTTGCGGAAGCAGAAACAGAAACAGATGTGAAAAAGCTTGCGGAATTTCAGCAGGTGCGGAAGCAGAAACAATGGTATGTTGCATCACTATTTAAAATGTTGACAAATTCTGAATTTGAGTCACTCTTGTTCAAACCACCATAAATACAACAATAAACACGTCTACTATTTTTTAAACACCGAGCGAACTCTTCAACGCAACGTGACAGCGAGATAATACGAATATGTGCGTACAAACACATTCGCACTATGCACACATACAAGCCGCGTTGCTACGTTTGTACGGAGTTATCCTACTTGTTTTATTACGTTATGGTATAAGTGACCGTTCGAGCTAAGCGGTGCTAATATCAGGGCAGTGACAAATTTCAATAGTACATTAAACTGCCGCCGTGTCACGCTAAGTATAACGCAAAGTGTAACTGCTTCCGTGGCCAAACGGTTACCAAACTGGACTGCCACGCAGAGGTCCCAGGTTCGATTCCCGCGCCGGGAGAAATATGTGCATGGCCTACATTTGTTTCTCTAGTGAGTGTAGCTGTAATTTGTGGTTATCTATGTGTATTTGTAGGTTACCCTAGTGTGGGGCTATGTTGAGTGTGTTAGTTATTATTATTATATGTATTTTAGACACGGCTCTCCCAAGGCCTAAAAGATTAATTATTATTGTAATCATTACTAAAGTAGAATTTAACTAAGGTGACCTGCGTTTGAGCTGTATAGCATAATATGTATATCAGTACCTCTAATTGCGCCCCGCAGAATCTGAGAACTGATCTAACTGTGAAAGTGCCAGGATTAGGAGTTTTCATCTCCAGCCCATCATTGGTCTGGAACAGTACTGGTCGGTTGAAGCCTGAAAAGAAAGTAGTTTTAGTTTTTAAGTCCTATTAATATTTCTTCAAGTACTGTTTGTATTACATTGTCAAACTTAGGAACTTTTTTATGATAGCGACGGGATGAACTGGTGATAAGCGACACGCCTGTTCATAGTAGATACAATGCCACTCAAAGCTTTAAATCGCAAAGATCTGAGACATAAGTTGACAAGTGCCATGTGCCTATAATTTCACCAGCACCCTGACCTTTTAAAGCCGGAACGGAGTAATACTCACAAAACTGCTTTGCGGCAGAAACAGGTATGCTGACAATATACCCTGAACGAACTGCTGCTAAAATATTATTCATATCAAGCAAAAAAAATATTTAGTAGCAACCTTATTACCAAGGGTGGTGCCAGAGGAAAACTTTGAACTGGTTGTCGCCAATTCATTCATCATTATTAATCCAACTACTAGAACGCACGAGTCCAAAATCTCACTTTAAAGAAGCCAATATGAACAATGCGATGCAATTATACCAAAATCAATCTAGCATGATTCCCGTGCCAGTTCATAAAAATCTACAGAATATAACCTTGTAATGTGTAAAAAATTATAAAAAGCCCGGACTGTACTGAAGCATATGAACACTTCACAGAGTGAAGTAATTTTCGTTAAAAGTATACACATTTTCTATTGACTTAATTAGTCAACAACTCAATAAGTTGCAAAATGTTATTTGCATGTTGTGCGCGGCTGTTATTGAGTTACAAATGTATTTGTTTTTGTTATAGTGTCATAGTTTTACTTGTATTGTATAATTTGTATCTTGTAACTGAGAGAAAATAAAAAATATTATTTTTATTAAATAAATAAAAATAAAGATAAAAACGACACATTCACTAATTTACGTATTTTATAAACTATTTTTATAGAATAAACAACAAATCAATGTTTGTTTGTGAGAAATTAACGGACAAAGGCATTTTTATTCAAAAATTCGTTAATTGTTATAACTTGCAAAGGTTACTTTATTACACTACATTTGCTAGAGATGATGTATGATGTGTATAGTGCGTTTGTTCGTTGCAAAAATATCCATTGAAATTACATTTGAATTATAGTCGTGTTTTATGCCTTCAATATAATACAAAACACTTCACACGTCAAAACATCGTGCAGAATACGTCAGGAAAATAAAACTGTACAAGAGAACCTTTCAAAAATCAAATATACTAAAAAATCTATCGACTTTACCTAATCCCTATTGAGTTGAGGCACGTCACAGGGATCATCCTAGTTTGAGTTTAATATAAGTTTCCAAAAGCTCACCATTATCTCTAACAAACTCCTCTGTAAACTGTTGGGGACGCATTCTGTGCAGTGCCTGTTGTGAAGGCCGCATCGGGCGGGCGGCCAGCGCCCGCACCCATGCTGGCGTACCAACTTGAGACGGACGAGTCTCCGCACTTAACTCGTAGCGGTCCGCACGATGGTTGTTTGTAGGGATTTTTACTGAAATAACACAACATTACAAACCAATTAAAGTTTCTATATTGCAACGGCCTTTATTGTATTCCAAAACTTATTATCACGAAAATCAATGTCACAAAGAACTTTATGGTTAAAATTAAATTTAAAAATTAGAGCTACTTTAGCCCAGTGGGATAGTTGCTTATGTGTTTTGAAATCTTCTACACCGTGTTCTTCTGTTGTAGTTTACCATCTATAAAAAATTATTAAAATTTCAGATTTGTTTTAACTTGTAACTGCTCAATCATAGTAATCTTGAAAGGGTTATAAGGGTTATAAGCACGCACTGCTGGCAGCGCTTAAGCATTTCCTGTAGATTGTAATATAGCCTGGAGAGTCATGTTGGTGTATTTGTGGATGTTTGTCATTTCTAGACGTATCAGAGCTTCGACATTATTTAACTTTTCCAGAAAATGTGAGTGACGTATGTGTGTAAACACGTTGTATCGTTAAGCGTATATAAGAAACTATTGTATCTGTAATTTAGCATGATAAGAGAGAGCACGTGTGCTCGTTTCAGACATTAGATACAGGATGACGACGGAACGAAACAAGGTGAGAAAAACGAGGAAAAAAAGAACGATTCAAAATTTGAAAATAAGTGGCCAGGTACCGGAGAAGGTGATAAAAAGATGGGATGACGATGGAGGACGTCGCATCGTCACAATCTAGTCTGCTTGGAGTAGGAGGCATGGGCCTCAATTCTGCTAATATTCGAAAAATATAACGATCGTTGTAATTCCATTGAAAATCCACTAAGATTCTATTGCAATTATGACAATATTCATTATTCTACTAAAATCTAGTTGCACTAACAGTTGAGTCTCAATATAGTGTCAATGGAATGGCAGTGATGGCGTTCATCAATTCCATCACCAACGATCGATGTTGCTTTACTAAAACTACCTAACCTAAAAACTATTCTCTTATATCTCTTATATCTTAATTTTTATCTAGTTTAAGCTTAACACAAAACAATCTTAGAAATAAATACACATACGTTCACCATACAAGGTGCCAAGTTGCTACAGGTGTATACATACTAAACATTTAGAGTAAGATACAAAGAATAAATTAAAATAATAATAAAAAAACAATTAAAAATGTATAATTACAGCAAATAATTTGATTTAAGATTGAAACAATTGCTTGCACATGCGAATAAGTTGTTTAGCGTTCCCTACATGAAAGATGTCTACGTCACTGTCTCTGGTCACGGTCAAGTCATTGTATGACTGCATGAGTCTGTTCAAGGGCATACCTTCCGAGATTACAATACAATACAATACAAAAATTCTTTATTGTACACCAAAAAAGGAAACAAATACAATACAATTAAATTAAAAATAAGCGGTGGTACAATGGGCGGTCTTATCGCTTTAAGCGATTTCTGCCAGACAACCTTTGGATGGAAGTAATTATATAATTCACAGGAAAAAGACGGCGGTGTATGAAGAATTACTAATCAACAGATAAAAATTGATAAATAAATGCAAATATACATATATTTATAAATAAATAATAAAACCAATACATATATATGAATATCGTAAACTACTATATATTCTTATACTTATAAATATAAAAATTTCTAAAACGTAATTTCAAAACATAAAAATACCTAAGCAGTCCAGGTCACACTAAATTAAGGTAGTGTACTTTTACCATATTTTTGAATATATTCAATGATTTCGCTTGTTGAATAGACAAAGGTAAAGCGTTCCACAAACGAATAGCCTGAACAGTAAAGGACTTGTCGTAATACTGGGAGGTATGCAATGGCATCTTAAGTTGGAGAGTTGAAGAAGAGCGCAGAAGTCGGGGGTTGTATTGATGGACGAATTCAAATCGCTCCTTAAGATAAGGTGGTGTGTGAGGAATGAATAAGATGCCATAGAGAAGATTAAGAATATGAGCATTCCGGCGAAGTCTAATGGGTAACCACTTCAGCTCATTGCGATAAATGGAAAATTTCATGATCAAATTTCCTCAGACCATAAATGAAACGGATGCAAAAGTTTTGTAGACGTTCGAGTTTGTTGAGCTGTTCTTCGGTTAAATCCAGATAGCAGGCATCAGCATAATCAAGAATTGGAAGAAGAAGAGTTTGGGCAAGCGCAGTTTTCGTGGCAATAGGTAAAAAATTACGTAACCGTCTGAGAGATGCGGCAGACGCAAACAATTTGCGGCTGGTCTCAACTAATTGAGGTGCCCAAGATAGCTGCCTATCAATAAGTATACCCAGATTTTTTACGTTGTCACTAATTTTAATGTAGGTGTCGTCTATAATAACCTGCGGCAAGCGAAACCAATCTATCTTGGATACCATTCTAGAGCTGCCAATAACAATCATTTGCGTTTTCGTTGCGTTCAGCTTAAGACCAAATTGTTTACTCCACGTCGAAATATGACGGAGATCATTATTGATTACCTCAATGGCTTCGTGCAGGTTTTCAAGTTGCCGGTGAGTGTAAATTTGTAAATCATCTGCATACAGGTGATAGGATGAGGTAAGACTGCGGGAAATTGAATTAATAAAGATCGAGAAGAGAAGAGGAGATAAAACGCCGCCCTGTGGAACGCCAGCATTAATGTCACACCAACAAGAGAATCTCTCATCAATGTGAACACACTGCCGCCGCCCATGCAGGTAACTATGAAACCAAGAGATTACCGTTGGAGATATGTTAAGAGTGCGTAAAAGTGCAATCAAAATGTCAAAATCAACGTTGTTGAAAGCATTGCTGAAATCAAGCAATGACATTACAGTGAGTTGCTGTTGCGACATACTATACCTAATGTCATCAGTGATCCTAACAAGAGCAGTCACAGTGCTGTGTCCTGGTCGGAAGCCGGATTGAAAGGGATTAAGAAGGTTGTTACGTATGAGAAAAGGAGTAATTTGGTTATGAACTAGTCGCTCTAGCAGCTTTGATAGAAAGGGAAGTATAGAAATAGGTCGGAAATCAGAAAAGTTAGATGGATTGGCTTTTTTGGGAAGAGGAGTAATGAGAGCTTCCTTCCAAAGGGAAGGAAATTCTCCGCTACTGATAGAAAAATTAAGAATATACCGGATCACTGGTAAAATCTCATCAACTATGAATAAAAACATTTTACGACCAATATGGTCACTGCCAACAGCATTGGACGAAATAGATTCTATGCCCTTCTTAACATCACAATCAGTAAACTCTTTTAAAGAAAACGGAGGATGGTCGGCAGTTGGAAGCGTGGAAAGATAATTTAAGGTAGATGTTTTAGTCGACCCGTCGAAGGCAACGGAATTAGAGAAATGATGATTAAGAGCATCAAGGTTTACATTTTTTGGGAAACTATCTTGACGTGACTTACCAACTCCCAGCGACCTAAGAAACTTCCAGACTTTAGCCGGATCATCAGTTTCTAAAGAACTATGAATATGTCGGCGTTGTCCATCCCTACACAACCTATTGCAGTGATTACGACGCTCATTATAGATGCGCTTATTCTCGTCTGTAGGACTGTACTTAAATCTGGCCTTAGCTGTGAGCTTTTTATTCATAGCAGTCCTAACATTCTGGTCTAGCCAAGGTGCAGGGAGGTGTTTCATTTTAACTGGCCGTACTGGTGCATGTTTATCGTAAAGATTCATCAACGTGTTGTTAAACTCGGACACTTTGCTAATTGATATAGCATTCACAACGTTACCCCAGTCAATTTCACGAGCATCACTTCGCAAACAGTCCAAATCAATTCCACGAAAATTTTTAGAAAATTTTTAGAAAGAGATTAGTTAAGTCACTAGATAAAACAAATGATTTAGCATGGGGACCCTAGGGAATTAGGTTTCAAATTAAATGTTTTTGATATCATATCACTTGATATTATAAAAAAAGACGCTGTTTTACAAGAATAGTGGCCCAATCCAAAATGGTTCCATCTTTGACATATTACTGAGAATTGTTCAGATAATGCTGAATTTTACTGTGAATGGGACACCGAGCTTTTCATTGGTTCAATAATCACATGACATTATTGAGATTAATTATAAATTTTGCGTTGCGGACACATCTCAGGTTTTCTAAACCGTCTTCCAGTTGAATTAGATGCTTTTGAGATACGCCATAATTCTAGAAAGCCATAAATATAATGAATGAGTGGATTTTGATGGATGACGAAGTTATTAGAACTCTGTCGCTTTCTCAATTCTGCAACTCTGAAGTACAATCTATATAAC